TCATTCCCTAAGAGGAACATAACTCTGATATTCATCTTTATCTACTAGGATCATGTGTCCCAATTCTGTGTTCTGTGGATGCCGACTTTCGGTCACTGATGGTGATACACATGGACATTTTCATCAACTTTCAGATTCTTGGGTCTTTGACAAGTCTTGTTACTGAGAGTCAAAGTAGTAGGATGTGAGTTATAAATGCTGGTTATCCAATTACCTACTCAAAATATACTACATGAATATTCCATTAAACATGCATAAGAAAAAAATGGTCATTCCCGCTGACCTGCAGCTCTTTGCTCTTCTGTATTCACCAGAAAATTTCCTACTCCTTCCTCATGTCCAGGTTAAATACTAGTGTACGACCTGGAAACCTGTAAATCATCTGACATTTCTCTCGGTCCCCCAAGCCTTTCTCATTCAATTATCACTAAATCATATTAATTATACCTCTCTTCTGCCTCTGCTTTATATTCCCACTGCCACTGGGAACATAAACTTCACAAAATGGCTCTTATTTAAAAGAAAACTGCCAACTATTAATGTTAGCTTTTACATGAAATAAAAAGTAAGCAAAACAAATAAAAAAGGCATAACACCATAAAAACAAAGGCCAACATATTAAAATGAGTAACTGAGATTCCTAACTTTATTTCACCACGGATGGGTAAAAACCTTATAATACATTAATACTAGTCCAAGGATGTGTGACAAGCAAACTATAGCTGACTACTGCAAAAGTTTCCTTTGTCTCCTGGTTTCTTTACAAGGTTATATTCCATCAATCCCAGCAAACTATAGGCCACAGTCCAAATCCAATCTGCCTCATGGCTTTGTAAATAAAGTTTTATAGGAGCTCAGTCAGGCCTGTTTGCTTACATAGAATCATGGTCGCTTTCACACTACAACAGCAGACAACAGCAGGGTAAGTAGATATGACAGAGACCACATAGTCTCAAATATTTCTCACCTGGTCCTTTACAGAAAAAGCTTGCTAACCCATTTTACACCATAACCAGAATGCCTTAATACTCAAATTTAATCTTGTGACTCCCCTGCTCCAATGTCTCCAATGACCCCCTGCAGCAAACATTGTCAACTCCCTACCAATAGCCATTCCTTATTCTTTCTTGCAGAAGAAACACAAGTCTATTGGGATGTTTATTATCCCAATCTACCTCCTCAGCCTCAGAAAGAGAAACGTTAATTCTAAGCTAATCACGTATTTGCATTCCCAGTGCCTGGTTGGGGAATGAGCAGGTAGTGTAACACAGCCAATGAAATGTTACAGGAAGCCCCTTGTGTGCTTCTAAGTTTTCTGCCTGTTTAGAAGACACAGGTGAAGAAAAGAAGCCCTTGAGATGTTGTGTTGTGAGAACAAGATGTTTGGAGCTGTTGCAGATTAGCCAACCATGAAAGGAGACATGAATAAAACACTTTCGACAGCACAGAAAGAGGTACAAGGGGGATCCCTAGGATATCACTGAACAAACAAAACAACTCTGGTTCCTACCGTTTTCGCCACTGCTCATCAGTATTTGCAGTCCAAAGCATTCTACCTGGTAAACTTCCCATGGCCCACAGGATAAGACCTACTCATTTCTGTAGGATTAAAAAGTCTGTCATAAACTTGCCTTAGCTAAGTATTCACCTCATTCCCAACCTCTGGTATCTCACACTTTTGGTGCCAGCAAAACTGAACTGCTCAGAAACCCTGCAAAGTTCACTCAAGCATCTTGTCTTTTGCACTTGCTGCCCTTCCTGCCAAACAGGCAATCTCCTTAGATGTTCCTTCTGGCCAACACACAATCTTGTTGCA